AGACCTCTGAGCTAGACTCTCTCCTGGTGAGACAGCACTATGTTTATAGACAGCACTATGTTTACAGACAGCTCCCCAAGTGATTCTGATGTGACCTCCAGGTTAACAACCTCTGCCCTCGGGCACCCTGGGCTCAGAAAGGGAAAGAAGAGGGAGGCAAAGAGGAAAAAGATATATAAAGTAACTAGATTGGAATTACTCTTAATCTTTACACACCCCCAGCTTTATTTCATGTACCTGTCCTTGATCAGGTACAAAGTCTCCTCCTATCTTGCCCTTCAACCATTCATTCTCTACAAAACTCTAAGAATATCTTTTGAAGACACAAATCAGAGCCTTGTCATTGCTCTGCTTAAACCCACCATTGGTTCCTTCTCATATTTCCAGTATCAGCTCAAATGCCACCTTCTCAGATAGACCCTCCCTGACCTACTTGTCTAAAATAACAAGCCCACCCACAGTCACGTGACCCTGTTTTACGCCTCCATAACACTTCTTACTATCTGAAATTATCTTATTCACTGAGCTCTCATTTGTAACTGCCTCCCATCCACTAAGGCTTCATGTCTATTGTTACATTCTGTTTGGTGCCTTGCACAATGCCTGGCACACAGTTGGGGCTTGATAAAATGTTTGTTGGACGAATAACTTACACAGTTCGTACTGACTACTTTGCAGTTCGTACTGATCTACTTTGCAATGATTCATCCGATCATACTTTCAGGAACTTGTAACAAAAAGTGGGTATTTTTCATATTTAAATTGCAAAGGAAAAGAATTGTAGTTTTGCTAATTCAAGTATATAGTTTGTTAACCAATATCTCTAAGTAGTTCTAACAATGTTCCTTTACTTAGTAGACAAACTTATCCATAATTAGCACATCAATTATATGCAAATTCAACTGCCTTGATATCCTTGGATATGTTTTCTCCCCTTAAGGAGTTGAAACATCCTGCCCCCATCATGTAATTTTGTTTATAGGACTATTTTGTTTAGCAGTCTCTTAATTCATAAACAGTGTAAAAATAGATCGGTCTTGCACCACCTGAATTATCATACATCCCAAATAATTGAAAACCCAGTTTTTTAATGGTGGAATCATCCTTCTGAAAATATGGCAAGGGCAGGATATATTAGCCACAAGTCCAAATGGCACTTGGGAAACATAAAACAGTTTGAGGCCATCATTTTATTCTTGAAAACTTCCAGCACCTTTTTTAGATATTGGTGAAAGCATTGAGAATGACTTCTTAAAGGATGATATTTTAAACAGGCAATCACCAGGAAGGAGGTAACCTGACCTTGTAGTTAAAGATCAGCTCTCACCAACTAGAACAAGCTTCCCTGCTCTTGAGGACCAGGGATTAAATAAAGATAACCCTTAGAGCTTGCAGACTTTCAGATATAGAGGAGTAAGTAGTTGGCAAATGGAAGAATGTGATTTCCCAAAGAGTGTCCAAATCATGGGTGGGGGGGGGGTGAGCATCATAATATAACTGTATGTTGAAGAGTTATTTGTATATCCATGTTCATAGCAACATTATTCACAATAGCCACGAGGTGGAAGCAACCCAGATGTCCATCAGCAAATGAATGGATAAACAAAAGGTGGTATATATACAATGAAATATTATTGAACTTTAAAAAGGAAGAAAATTCTGGCATGTGCTATAACATGGCTAAACCTTGAGGACATTATCCTAAGTGAAATAAGCCAGTCACAAAAGTACTGTGATTCCACTTATATAAGTTGTGTGTATGTGTGATTCCACTTACATGAGGTATCTAAAGTTGTCAAATTCATAGAAACACAAAGTAGAATGGTAGTTGCCAGGGGCTGAGGAAATGGAGAAATGGGAGCTATTTTTTAAAGGATATGGAGTTTCAGTTTTGCAAGATAAAAAAAAGGATCTGGAGATCCATTGCACAACACTGTGAATGGTATTACATGATATGATTTTGTATTGTTTTTTTTGCCACAATTAAAACTAAAAATAATCATCTGTAAGGAATAATGTTAAATGGAAGGAAAACCAAGTGTAATCAAAATTCCATAGGATTGGTAATACTGTACACTATTATAAAATTGCTTAGAATTTCAACCTCCAGAAGAAATATTTGCATATTTGATTCCTACCAATATTTTACTTATGACACCTTTTCTCAACCTAACAGTTTGGTCACGTAAGTGACAGAGATTGTTCCATTAGAGGTCCCAAAAGCCTATTGGTTAAGCCTAGAGACATTGTATTCATATTTATTCTTTAGTTTCCAAGAAAATTCTTAATTTTAAAAAGCCCACTATTTTTAAAAAATAAAAATAAAATGTAATAGTACTAAACCTGTGAAAAGAAAATCCTGCCCATCATCTCTGCCCCTTCGAAGCAACTATTCCCCATTGACACATTTACCCTTCTGGTCCTCGTCCAAATGTGCACATATTTTGTACCACTGTAGTTACCATGTACATACCATTTTTCATGTGTTTCTTTTTTTATTTACCTTATGCTGTAGACATTCTCCCAAGTTTTGCATTTTTGTAAAAATTATCATTTTTAATTGCTGTATAATATTCCATTGCTTTGATGACCATATGAGCTTAGCTGTTACCCTATTTTTTAGCAGTTGTTTCTGTTCTGCTAATACAGATGAAACAGCTTTGGATATTTGAGACACTCTTGATGTACTCAGTGTTTTAAATGATTTCTATTAGAGACACACATTCCTATACATGTAGAGCTAGAAGGGCCAAGGGGGTAACCAAGCCTGTTCCTCATTGAAGTATACATTGAGCGCCACTCATTACCCCAGTCATACCCTCCTGGCTGCAAGTTCATGACCCTATGTAGTGGCAAATAAGCTGTGAAGCCATGGAAAATTTTGGTTAAACCTTTTTGTGACATCCATCCAAATGGTAGCGACAATATATTTCTACTTAAATTATACATACAATAATATTTGAGTACTTCAGTTAATAAATTCCTCAACTTTCCTGGGTTCTAGGTAACTTTTAGAACTGAGGACCCATTTGTAGGGCTATACTTGCTTGGCTTTTTATTGCTCCTAATATTAAGAGTTGATTTTGTTTCTCTGTTATGAGGTTTTAGCACACGGTCCCCTCTGGAAAGTGTCCTCCACTGGGCTGACTCCTACTTGTCTTTTACATCTCAGTGCAAAATGTCACTCCCTTAGGAAAACCTTCCCCAACCAGGTCAGTACCTCTGTATATACTCTCCTCATTTCCTGAACTTTCCCTTCATTGCATTGATCAGCTTGTAACTATGTATACTCATATAAGTATTTGATATCTGTCTCCCCTTCTAGATAAAAACTCCTCTGTGAGGCCAGGGACTGGATCTGTTTTGCTCACTGCATCCCAGCATGTAGCACATAGGAGGTAATCAATAATATTTGTTGAATGAATTAGACATCATCAGGGACAGCCATGAACCATTAGGTTAAGAAAGGAGGGGAGAGAGGAACAGAGAGACAAGACTTGGCTGTCATAGCATGGTCTACTTCTCCACATTCAAGAGAAACATTGTAAAAATTGTAACAACTGATAAATCAAAGACTTCACCATAACTTTTCTTTCTTCTTCTGAGATGGAAATCTTTATTGTTTTCTGTATAAAAATGTCCATCAGATGGAGGTCAAAAGGGTTGGGGCAGATGCCTGTACAGGAACAGTAAGGTGGGCAGCCCCCCAGCCTTCCCACCCTCTCTCATGCAGGCCTTGCTCAGAGTCCCAGGCGATCCACAGGTCCAGGGTGCACAGTGAGAGGGGTCAGAGGTGGAAGGCTCAGCGATAGTGCAGGAGGATCAGCAGAGGTCATGAGAAGGCCAGAATCCAGGGTCAGGTTGTCCTTGTTGAAGTTAAGTTTCTTGGCTGGAGGAGTTTCTCCCAGCCCTTCAATACCCACCAGGTCACTGTTGGCGTCGGGGTCGTTCAGACACTGAGTGTCACACTAGCATTCTGTTTCCTTATGGGAGGATCCCAGCCTCAGAGACACTGGAGCTGTTTCGTGGAGGGGAGCTGGAGGAGAAGACAACACACCAGATGCCATCTCCGTGGGCCCTTTCTTGGATAACCCAGCTGGGGGGGGAATGCCAGAGTCTTCATATACCTTGCGCTTCACGGTGGTGGTCTTTATCTGAGCCACTGTCCACTTCTTGATGACACAGTTGCTGCAGTTAAGATTGTCCCCAAATCTGTTCACAGCAGCCCTCAGCATCTCTATCTCCGTCTCCATCCACTTGGCACCCAAGGGGGAAGAGTGGGCCATGGGATGCAGCTGCATCATCAACTCCCTGAGCTCCTAAGGCTGGCACCAGCTGAGGACAAGACCTCTAGGACCTTTGCGGATGCTGAGGTCAGGGCATCACACCTCCTCACGAAGAGGCGCTGCTGCCCCCATAATCACGGAGCCGGGACCATAGCTTTTCTTTCTAAAAGTAGTCTGTAGTATTTTCCTTCAGTTTTTCCTCCCTTCTCTGCTCTTTCATAATACGCACATGCTTAAGGCACATGTCTGCTTCTGTGTCACATTTATTTGTTACATCTTACCTTTTCTAACAGGGCTACTCTCTCTTAGAGGGCAAGGCTTCTTTCCAACATCCTATTTGCATTACCAACTATGCTTAGGAGACAATACCTATTCAATAAACATTAGTCCCTTTATCTTAAAATTCATATGGACTCTCAAGGGACACCAAATAGCCAAAATTGTCTTGAAAGAGCAGCACAAAATTGGAGGCCTCACATTTCCTGATTTCAAAACTGACTACCAAGCTAAATAGTATGGTACTAGCATAAAGACAGACATACAGACCAATGGAATGGAATACAATAGAAACCCCAGAAATAAACCATTGTGTATTTGATCAAATGATCTTCAGGGAGGATACAATAGCCAAAAGGTGGAAGCAACCCACATGTCCATGCACGGATGAATGGATGAACAAAATGTGATGTATACATATAATGGAATATTATTTGATCTTAAAGAGGAAAGAAAATGTGACATACATGGCAACATGGTTGAATAATATGCTAAGTGAAATAATCTAGACACAAAAAGACAAATACTGAATCATTCTGCTTATATGAAGTACATAAAGATAGTCAGATATATAGAGATAGAAAGTAGAATGGTGGTTGTCAGGGATGGGGTGAATGGAAAATGGGGAGTTGTCATTTAATGGATATAGTTTCAGTTCTATGGATGGATGGTGGTGATGGTTGCACAGCAATTTGAATGTAGTTAATGCCACTGAACTATATAGTTAAAATGGTTAAGATGGTAAATTTTATGTGTATTTTGCTGCAATAAAAAAAATAGTTCCTCTTCCCACTGTTCATACCAAGTGTGAATCCCCTCACAGCACCTTGCAGCTGGTTCAGTAAATGTGTGAGTGAGAAACCAGAATCCCGGAGTCAGAAGGTGCCTTAGGAGCCATTTGTGGAAGCCTCGACTCAGTGGGCAAGTGACATCTGCAGTACCCACCTTTGCTGAGACACCTCCAGTTTTTAGGACACTCGTTGCCACTTAAAGCACTGTCTGCCATTGTATGCTTCTTTTCATTAGAAAATCTTTCTTTACACCAAGCGGAAACAGGGCTTTCTGGTAATAACTCCCCATCCCCAGTGGTCCTACGGACCCAGAGATAACAGGGCGAATTGCTAGTTCACCTGACCACCCTTACACAATAAAAGTGCAGAGCTCCATGAACTAAAAAAGTTAAAGCTTCATCCCAAATGCACCCTTTTCAACCAGGAGATATTCTTTTTGTATTTAGACACTAAAAAAGTCTCAAAAGGAGTATTTGACCCTGATTCCCTCCAGAGACTCACCAAATGGCAAGGACATGGAGGCAACAATTGGGCCTGATGAAATCTACTTGGGGGAGAGAACAACTATGGAAGAATGGAAAATATTTAGCCTGGAGAAGAGTAGTCTCAGAGAGAGATACCACATGTCTTGAGGACTATTCTAACTGAAGATGAAGCCTTAGGGTGTAAGGTCATGGACATAAGTTACAGGAAGGTGGATTCAGCTCAACAATAAGACTTCAAAACTGTTCAAGCCCATAACACTTACAAAAAAGGAAGTGGCATGTAGGTGCTCAATTAATTGTAGCAATCATTACTATTACCAGGTCCCTGCTTGAACTTCAGAAAAGAAGCGTGCGCGCGCGCACACACACACACACACACACACTCCACAAGCCATAGTGGGCTTTCAGGCACCATCCATACCTGACACCGAACATTCCAGAAGTATTTCTGTTTTTAGTACATATGCACAGAGCACAGCTACTTAAAAGTCAAACAACTATAAAAACTCACTATTAAGGAGGGACTTTTCAAAGACCTTTGGGCTCCTTACTCCCTCAGGAGTACCTCAAGACCTGTTTCTTCTTGTTGAGCTAGAGCCGCAGTTATAACCTGGTCCCTCCCATGGCTGGGATCCTCTGACCTTTTATGTCCTAGCAGTGACTTCTGTGCATTGGGCAGTGATGTGTGAATTTTGGATTCAACCCTGATCTCAGCCTTTCGGGCTTTCTCTCTCTTTTAATTCCTTCCGTGTCTGTCCAAGGCTTCTGCCACCCTGTCCCTTCCTGAAGCAATCCATGCTTTTGAAAAATGACCACGCTGAAGGGGAACTAGCACTCCCAGCCTGCAATGGGTCTTGTTGATCTGATTCTTAGAGGATGGAGGAGGTTTGAGGACAAGGCTCGTGGTGGCATTACCATTCTCCCAGATGAAGCAAAGATCAAGTGAAAAGGAGGAAAGATCTTTTGAATGTGAGCACATTCGAAGACCCAGAGGACGGAGAGGTATTTAAAGTAAACTGGAACAAACCTGCAACATCAGGTGCGTTCTGCCTTCAAAAATAGCTGCCAGTTAGAAAGGGTTATTTACATATTGATTTCATGCTAACTTTGTAATGGAATGTGCTGCCTGCCTGCCTGAGACCTAACAACTGTCATCATAATTTTTTCTAAAAATACAGTCAGAGAAAAACATTCAGTGAACCCTCCACTGGAAAGTGGCTCTGAAAGACCCCAGATCCCAAACCTACTGGATGGACCATGGCCAAACGCAGGGCTATTCAACAAGCGTAGCTGAGGGAGCATTTCACGGCTAGGGCTGGCCCTCCCTTCTTCTACCCAGCCTGCATCATAATTTTTTTTTTTTGGTCATTCTAGAAAACCTCTTTTGTTCTAAGGTGAGGAAGAGGCCTCCCCCTGCAAAGCAGCCTTATGGAAACTACAGCTGGACCTTTATCAGAAATAATGGATGAGAAAGGGGCCCCGGGTGGCCCACCAGCTCCATTGCCACATCCTGAGTACACGGCCCCCCATGGTTTCTCCCCATGTCTCTCTGCTAAGGATCCCCTCTTCTGCCTCCTAACAGCCAGCTTCTAGTGTTTCTCACTGCAGCTCCTTCCGAACCTCCCAGGTTTGTCTCTGTGGATCCTACAGAGCTGATCCTTGGCAGGGCTGTCATCCCTCCCTGGTACAATATTAGCAATTTAAATGCCTCTTTGCCAGGCCTGATGGAGCTGATTCGGTTGTGATCCTGGGCATATGGCTGGCATATTTGCTGTGAGCTAGGTGAGACGAGTCCCAGAAGGACTGACGCCAACTACTGCAGCTGCCTACCCCAGCCACGCCCGGGCAAGCGGCCGTGCAAGCACTTAAATCGGCCGGAGCCAGCCATAACTGCTGCCCACTTTGTTTCCAGCCCGGCCCCCAATGCTGGGGACAAATCTTTCATTCATGAAGAGTAGCTTGTTAGGCCAACTCCGGGACTACTCTAAAGCCACTTAATTAAACTGTGGAAAGTCGCTTGGCCCCAGTGGGAAATTTGCACACAAAGGCACGGTGTCTGGAGCTCCCTTCACCAAAAGGCTCCACAACAAAACCTCCACCGTCCTGTTCCCGGCCCCCCAGCTCTTCCCCTCTGCTCTCAGCACCCCCTCATTAGAGGGCGTTTGTTAGGGAATGTTTTCCCAGCGATTCACTGACAGGCCTTTCATTCCTCCCTCGGCAATCAAGGGTGGCAAGTACAGGCTGAGAGCTCTCCAAGGCCTGATTGCTGAAAGAATTTCCAAAAGTAAAGCGTGTAAACAGGTACATTGAAAAAGCCTCTTTTGAACAATTATGTAAACATTCCCAACACTATTTGAAAACTTTCACAGTGGAACTGTCAGATGGAGCATTCTTGTTTAATTGCGTGGGCACAGCAGTTGCTCTTGCATCCCAGCTCCCTGCAGACCCAGCTCAGAGAGTTTAGCAGAGACGTGGGGCCTCCAGATAGGGAAGTTAGGGGAACGCAGCCACGTACAAATGAATTTCACTATCAGGCCAACAGCATCTTCCTGCGTGTGTTCTCACTCCTTCAACTTCCAGAAGAATCTCACTTTCTCTTCCGGCTTGATTTCTCCAGGACCTGGTCCACTGCTTTACACACAGGGTTGGTTGATGGTTGATACTCCTGGGTGCAAGATACTCTTAGACTCACTAAAGTGCGCTGTCAGGTCTTCTTCAAACCACCAGCTGGTCATTCTGAGAGACAAGCAGAGTTGCTGGCAATATTCGCCACCCCACAGGAATGGCTCCTTGCCTGTCTTTCTCCTTTTCCTACCTGAGCTTGCTATCTTTCTCCTTCTCCATGCAGCTCAGATTCTCATAATTCACTAACTGAACCACCAGTGACCCTGATTATGTTTCTAGGAGTTGAAAGTGTTTAGGACACATGAGCCAACTGCTTGATCTCATATTTCATGGAGACATAGAGGCTTGGGATGACTTTTCATACATATCCTTCCTTGAATCGGCATAGCCAGTCTCCAGTCACTTGGGGTCCATTTAGCCTGTGACCACCAAGCCTCCCATCATGGGAATTGTGGTCCAGGAGAGTGGGGCATGGCTTGTTTTTGTTTTTGTATTTTAAAGGCTATTTCTTAAAAGCCAGGGGAAAAGCCTGAATGCTCAGAAAGGGGAATGGCATATCAACACAGTGAAATCTTACAAATGTGTAATACTAGGGTCAGGTGGAGACATGGGAAATATTATGAAAAAAAAGTGAAAAATCAGGCCACAAAATTTTAATGGCAAATACAAAATGACAAAAAGGCATGTATGCATGCTGCAAAGGACTGGAAAGAGCCATGGCAGAATGAAAACACTTGTTCCCGGCAGTGGGATAACCAGCATGTTCTACTTTGCAAGGCTATCTTTAACGTCATGGCATTGTGTTGTCAAGGCAGGGCCAGGGAATGCTTGAAAGCACCTGTGCACATACAAGGTTGAACATAAAAGTCCACCCCAATAACGCACAAAGAGATGTATACACCATCCTGCAGCACAGTAATTTGGATCAGAGCTTCAAAGTAAATTCTTCAGGTCTAAAGAGGAGCTAAGGCTTACCTGCTTGCTGAGGACAAGGCTCGTGGTGGCATTACCATTCTCCCAGATGAAGCACAGGCAGACACAGAATCACAACTACAAGATAAATCAGAAAGGTAGTGGGTAAAAATGGTGATGCTCAACAGGGTCAGTTGAAGAGCAGGAACCTGAGAGAAAAATCACCTCTTTTCATCTCATGGAACTCCCTAGATATGGAGTGGCTCTAAGAGTGTCTAAATGTGCTTATATCACAGGCTTATTCATTTTGACTACAGTCAATGATTTTTATGCACCTACTCTGTGCAAGGGCCTGTGCTCCTTGCAGGGCATGCAAAGTTTTAGGATAATTTTGATCCTAAAAAGTTGATTTACAATGAAGTGAGAAACCATCTTTAAAAATGCATGTGAGTCAATGGGATTTTGACAAGGGTACAAGACAATTCACTGAGCAAAGAATAGTCTTTTCAATAAATGATATTGGGACAACTGAATATTCACATGCAAAAGAATGAGTTTGGACTCCTACCTCATGCCATATACAAAAATTACCTCAGAATAGATCAGACATATATGTAAGAGCTAAAATTATAAAACTCTTAGGAGAAAATATGTATGTAAATTTTCATGACCTTGGATTAGTCAATGGTTTCTTAGCTATGACACCAAAAAGCACAAGCAACAAAAGAAAAAAATAGAGAAATTGGCCTTAATCAAAATTAAACACTTCTGTGCTTCAAAGAACACTATCAAGAAAGTAAAAAGACAACCCACAGAATGGGTGAAAAATATTTGAAATATATATCTGATAAGAGTATAGTACCCAGAATATATGAAACATTCTTACAACTCAATAGGAAAAAGACAAATAACTCAATTCAAAAACAAGCAAAGAATTTGAATAGACATTTCTTCAGAGAAGATATACAAATGACCAATAAACAAATGAAAGGATGCTGAAATCATAAGTCATTGAGATATTCAAATCAAAAGTGAGATACCACTTCACACCCACCAGGATGGCTATAATCAAAAAGACAATGAAAAGTGTTGTAGAGGATGTGGGGAAATTGGAATCCTCATACACTGCTGGGAAAAAATTTACAGTGGTGCAGTCATTATGGAAAACAGGTTGGTGTTTCCTCAAATAGTCAAGGATAGAGTTACCACATGATCTAGCAATTATACCCAAGAGAATCAAAAACATTTCTCCACACAAAAACTTGTACATGAATGTTCACAGCAGCATTATTCATAAGAGCCAAAAAGTGTAAATAACCCAAATTGTCCATCAACTGATAAGTGGATGAACAAAATGTGGTATATCCCTATAATGGAACATTATTCAGCTGCAAAAAGAATGAAGTACTGATATGTGCTGTGAGCAAGATGCAAAAGGCCACATGTTTCTATATTAAATGCTCAGAAAAGGCAAATTCACATGAACATCAAGTAGATTAGTGGTTGTCAGGGGCTGGGGGGAAGGGGAAATGCGGAGTGACAGCTAAAGGGTACAGGGTTTCTTTTGGGGGTGATCCAAATATTCTGTAATTAGCTAGAAGTGATGGCTGCACAATGTAATGACTATATTAAGAAGCACAGAATTGTACATTTGAAAAGGTTGAGTTTTATGGTATGTCAATTATGCCCCAGTTTTTTCTTCAGGCATATGAAAGTTTTGGTAAACTGTAAAGCGCCACTTGCAATACAGTGTCTGTACCAGGAGCAGGGTGCCCTAGGTATTCCTTGCAACTCCAAATTGCTCGTCAGCCTAATTCCTGAGGCCCCTCTCAGCCCTCATGCCAGCAACATGGGTATAAGCTGACCGCAATAACCAGCCCTAGGCCTCAGGAACCTAACCAGGGCCTCTGTGTGTCCCTGATTTTTCAGGAGTAGGGACATATACGTTCAAGATCTGCTGAGCCCCTCTAGGGTGGGAAAATGGGGAAATTACAAATAAGCCTGCCCAGAAAGCCAGCACAAGGAAGTCAACATACTGAGTGGGAAGCGTAAGACTCAGGTCAGAATTCCAGGAGCAGGCTAATTTTGAACAGGGACTTTCCCAGCACACACACTATCAATTTCTTTCATCAGATTGGGCCGGACTGTGCCTTGAGATTCTAAGAAGAGATTCTTCCACTTATTCTGTGGTTGTGCGATAGCAATCAAAGTGGACAGGATACCTGGGCTCCGAGCACAGCCAAGCTCAAGAAGGACTGTTTCCCTGGACAGATCTGTTGCAGTGACTGGCTTGGAGCCACAGAAGCTGTACCTGGTTTCAGATTGCTACCAGGCCAGTGGTCCCCCCACGCCCTGCTGGATTCCTGAGCCCATCCCTGAATCCTACCCCAAGCTTGGAACTGGACCCTAATTCTCTGTAGGAACTAATTGCTGTGGCTACACCCAGGACCCCACCTAAGGTTTCAAATCATCCCAAGGGTCCCCACCTATTGCTGGCCATAATCTTCTGACCTCTAGCCTGGGCTGCCCAGAGTGTCTGGGACCCAGTGTTCGGAGGCCACCTAGGCTTCAGATCATCCCTATATTACAATAATCTGAATTCTACGAGTCTGTATGATCTGGCCTCAGGCTCTCTGTCTGACCCCATTCCTACCTTCCATCCTAGCACTTGGCCCACACTGGCCTGCTGGGGTCCCTAAACAGGCCAAGCGTATTCCCATTTCAGGGCCTTGGCCCTCGCTCTTCCCTGGCTGGGAACGGTTCTCTGCCTAGCTGCAGGCTGGCCCCTTCACTTCACTTAGTTCTTTGTGCAAATGTAACTTCTTTGCACAAGTCTTCTCAGTCCACCCTTCCTAAAATAGCACTTCTGTCACATTATATCCTCCACCCTGCTTTATTTTTCCTACTTTATGTGCTTTTTATCTGCCATCCCCTCCAGAAGGGAGGCTCCCTGAAGATTGGACTTTGTTTTGCTCACTGATGTAGCCTCAGTGCCTAAGAGTGCCTGGCACCCAGCTGACACCTATACACACCTGTTGAATGAATAAATGGATGAACAAATGAAGGAACAAATGAAAATTCTATCCCATTTGAACAGCCTAGCAGCCTTGTGAGAAAGGCAGATTATGGGCTTTGTCTTAGTTTGGAGAAATTTAAAGCACAAAGACAATAAATTATTTGTCCGTGCTTACAGAGAGATGGAGGCCAAAGAGGATCTCAAAGGGATCTTAAGGCCCTCTCCATGACTCTAGAACCATCTCCCCAGCTCTGGGTGAAATCCCCTGTTTAGAGACCTTCCAGAGGGCTTGTGGAAGAGCGGTGGGCCTGGGAGGACAACCCGCAGCAGGTGTAAGGAACTGGGAGGTTGGAGCACTGAAAGGAAGGAGCTCAGACATCAGTCCACACACTACACCTGTCCAGGGGGCCCTGCATGTGCCTTCCATTGAAGGAAAGCCCTTGCTAGCGGCTGCTCTGGATATGCTCGGGACCATGTTCTGCCTTGCTGGTTCTGTCCTGGAGTAGGTCAGAGTCTTCAGAAAATCCTGGGCATAAATGTAGAATAAAGTTTATGTCTTTGACCCAGCCTCACCACCTCCTTGTATTTACCACAATAGGGCAAAGGTACTGTCCTACTTACCTCAGCAAGGGAATGAAATACAGGTGTGAAGTACATCGTTGTAAATGATCCCATCACAAGACCGGTTCCTGCTTTCATTTGGGGGAGGTGTGATGGTGCAGTGGGAAGAGCATCAGGTTAGGAGTTTAGAAATTCTTGTGAAGAGTTCCAGTTGTTCTCACTTAGAGGCTGGGGTGGACAAGTTTCCTAATTCTTCTGAGCTTTGATTTCTCATCCATTAAATGGAATGAATAAACCCTACCTGTGCTCACAGGGATGCTGTGAAGGCTTCAGGGACATGAGCATTGTCAGCTGACAGTCGGTGTGATCTGTTAGAGCATGATACATTTTGTGCACATGACAAGCCTAGGAAATCACATGCATAATGGGAGAAGGAAACTAACCAATCAAGATTGAGAACATTCATTCTTTGTGCCTCAGTTTTCTCATCTGCAAAATGGGGATAATAAAAGGACCTATCACATAGGATTGTTATAGAAATAAAATATATAAAGTGTTCAAAACCCTGCCTGTCTCATGGAAAGTTCTAAGTGGAGGTTAGCTATTGTTGATGCTATGATTATGAATGGCATGTATCAGTATTATATTCTGTAAATAATGGAATGTAAACACTGAGGTGTTACACCTGTCTCCACTTGGGCAGTACTGATCATCCATCCCACATTTACTCTCGTCCCAGGGTCCCTGTCAAGGGGAAATGACTCACTTGTCATGGCAGCTCCCTCCCTGAACCTTGCCCCTCAGCCAAAAACTGATTCCAGTTCTTACACATAAAAAGCACTTAAGGGGTAAATATTATATTGCCTTTCCATGACAAGGAAAATGTGCCATCTTCATCTTTGTGTGAATTTTTAAGGAAGTAGGAAGCTGTGGAATATTTTGGTTTAATAAAATTAACTACCCATGAGGTGTCCAATCCAGAAATTCCAGTGGTCCTTGGAGGAAGGGACCAATGTCTGTACCCACAGGTTGCTTTTAACCATAGAAGATGGACAGATATATTCTCTGTGCATCAGAAGGTAGAGATAGGGCCAGAACTACAGATACAAGGAGGCAGATTGCAGTTCTATATTAAAAAACACTTTCCACTGAAAGAGCTCCCTGGAAATGAAATAGCCTGACTCAGGAGGAAGGGTGTTCCCTGTCGCTGCATGTGATCAAGTGGAGACCCCTGCTGCAGAGGAGATTAATTCACTGGGTAAAGGTCTGAGCTGCATTACTTGCAAGGTCTCTTCCAATTCTACAATTCCATGACTCTCTAAGCATATGAATTGCCTAGACAGGAGAGAAGGAAGCCATGCTGACTTGAATCTCAGATCATGATTATATGCACAGAAAGCCAAAAGTACTCAACAGCTGTCTTTGGCCACCTCCACTGCACCAACCAAAGGACTGTAAGGACCTCTCTCATTCCCCCTCCCATCCTGGGATAACAGCCTCACCTCTCTCCCACAGCAGGCCACCTGTCACCAACACACTCCACCAACTAACTAGCTTTAGG